CCATCCATCCATCCGTCCATCCATCCATCCGTCCATCCATCCATCCGTCCATCCATCCATCCAACTGTCTATACATCCATCCATCCATCCATCCGTCCATCCATCCATCCGTCCATCCATCCAGTGGATGTGGCAAAATAGACTTAGAAAAATTTTATGAATGAATTAATATTTGATGCATACAGCTTTTCAATAGGGAATGAGCAGCTTAGCAGTAAAATGAACATTTCCATTTATGTCCAACAGTGATAAAAATGTAAACAGTGTATGAGAAAATAAATAACAGTTTAAAGACATGGTTGAAAGGGCATTGATATGAAAGGTTAAGAGCTGTGTAACTGTGATGAAATATCTTTAATGGAGGGGAGTGGTACCCAATGATCCTCTCTGCTGTCTGGAGAAAGAAAAAGTTTCTCATGTTCTTCCAGTCTGAGGCGCTGCAGCCTCCACACCACACAGTGAGACAGCTGGTCAGAACGCTCTCTATGGTGCTTCTGTAGAAGGTGGTGAGGATGGGTGGGGGCAGGTGGGCTCTCCTCATCCTCCGCAGCAAGTGCAAGTGCTTCTGTGCCCTTTTGACAAACAGGAAGTTATTCTGGATGACAAGCTTTAGCACTCTTTCATTGAGCAAAATGTGAGTGTTTCAATGTGAACAATTGAAAGTTGTAACATCTCAGTTCCTCCAGAGCAGGACCTTCCCCTTGTTCAAAGCTGGACTATTACATAAAGCATAATACACATCACAGGAAAAAAAAAAAAAATCTTAGCAAGCTAAAGGTATTGTGGAGCATTTTTGCAAATGTTTTAAGAGACCCGCCCTCTCCACTTAAAAGAAAAAGCACATGCACAACCCTGTACCTGTTCCCGAGAGGGAACGCCTATTAAACTAGTGCGATAGCGTGCACAAGCCCATTTCTCCTCATGCACGCTCTGTTTAAAAGTTGCTGTTCTCATAGCTCATACAAGCTTACTGGGTCTGCACTTCCGCCCTAACTCCTAAATCCCTCAATCTCTATACAGTAAAGAGCGGTAAATATATGGCGGACTTTATAGTGAACTCAATTAACTTACCGTTTGGACAGATGATTACTGCTTTTCGCTCCTCGTTGTCGCTCAACCTTCACTGTGCGGTGCTTGCGCCATCTCTGTTATTAGTCGCTGCTGTTGAGTAGCAACAGTCTACGGTGACAGCGGATCGCTGTGACAGCAAATCCCAGAATGCTTTGTAAGGAGAGCTCTCCATGCAAAGCACTCTGGGATATATCTGCCTCAGCTGAGACCTTTCTTTTCTTCTCTTACACTTCATGGATGCTTTTTCTCTTATGACCCTCGGCCATTTTTAAAGAACCACGGTGAGAAAGATGAGCTTCAATGACTGTCTCATACTGAAGCTCACCACATATATACACCTGAAAGAGCACATGTGCAGAAAAAGATAGCTAATGTGACGAGCATGTAGGACGGCCTTACGTAAATATATCACCAGAATGATTGACAGTTAGGAGGACCACTTATTTAGATGATCCACCCGGAAATAAATGATTGTCCTCTATACCTTTCAATTTAAGGTAAACTAATGCAAATTGCTGTTGTAATCTCTTAACCTATAAACAATGTAACTTGCTATGATCCCAGGTTAATTAAATACACACGCAAACCGACACACACATACAGTGAGGAAAATAAGTATTTGAACACCCTGATATTTTGAAATTATATAGGGGTCTGAAATTGTCATTGTAGGTTCATGTCAATTGTGAGAGACATGATCTAAAAATAAAAAATATCCAGAAATGAAAATGTATGATCTTTTAACTACCTGTTTATATAATACAGCTGCAAATAAGTATTTGGAAACCTGAGAAAATCAATGTTAGTATTTCGTAAAGTAGCCTTTGTTTGCAATTACAGAGGTATAATGTTTCCTGTAATTTTTTTACCAGGTTTGCACACACTGCAGGAGGGATTTTGGCCCACTCCTCCACACAGACTTTCTCTAGATCAGAATCAGATCAAAGTTATTGCCAAGTAGGTTTGCACTTACAAGGAATCAACTTGGTGTTGATTTTGCAGACAAATTAGATCAGTCTAGATCGGGTTAGATCAGTTTTCTGGGCTGTCGCTGATAAACATGGAGTTTGAGCTCCCTTCAAAGATTATCTATTGGGTTTAGGTCAGGAGACTGGCTAGGCCACAGCAGAACCATGTTATGCTTCATACAGAGCCAATACTTGGTTATCCTGGCTGTGTGCTTCGGGTCATTGTCTTGTTGGAAGACCCAGCTTTGACCCATCCTTAAGGCTCTAACTGAGGGAAGGAGATTGTTTCACAAAATCTCGCAAAACATGGCCCTGGTCATACTCTCCTTAATACAGTGCAGTTGCCCTGTCCCATTTTCATAAAAAAGACCCTCAAAGCATGATGCTACCACCCCCATGCTTCACAGTATGTTGTTCTTGGGTTGGTACTCATCATTATTCTTCCTCCAAAAACGGTTGGAGGAATTATGACCAAAAAGTTCTATTTTGGTCTCATCTGACCACAGGACTTTCTTCCATGACTCCTCTGGATCATCCAAATGGTCTTTGGCAAACTTGAGATGGGCCTTCACATTGCCTGTTTAAGCAAAGGAACCTTCCATGCCATGCATGATTTCAAACCATGACGTCTTAATGTATTACAAAATGTAACCTTGGAAACGGTGGTCCCAAACCCTTTCAGGTCACTGATCAGCTCCTCCCTTGTAGTTCTGGGATAATCTCCTGCCTTTTTTATGATCATTGAGACCCCGTGAGGTGAGATCTTGCATGAAACCCCACTCTGAGAGAGATTGACAGTCATTTTTAGCTTCTTCCATTTTCCAAGTGATTGCTCCAACAGAGGAACCTTTCTCACCAAGCTGCTTGGAAATTTCCTGGTAGCCCTTTCCAGCCTTGTGGAGGTACACTTTAGTCTCTAGTGTCTTTGGGCAGCTCTTTAGTCTTGGTCGTGATAGTAGTTGAGTTCTTACTGATTATATGAGGTAGACAGGTGTCTTTATGTAATGTCCTCAAATAGGTACATCTAGTTTAGGTTAATAAATAGTGGCGTGGAGGTGGACATTTTGAAGGCAGACCAACAGGTCTTCGAGGGTCAGAATTCTAGCTGATTGACAGCTGTTCAAATAATTGTCTCGCCTTGAATTCTACATTACTACATATATATATATATATATATATATATATATATATATATATATATATATATAAAACACTTGAGAAATAATAGAGATAGATTAGTAAGCCATTAAAAGCAATTATACTGAGTAAACCGACCCTTGTTGGCCTGTTTGCCAAAGTTAGCTTAGCTGCTCCTTACCACTCATTACAGGGAAGAAACCAAAACTCACCTGCTGTTGTTTGGCTTTTTTAAATCAGCACCAACTAACAGAACCTCCCACACACACGAAGAACTGCATTTCATGTTGTCTAATAATTATGGTAAATACCAAAAGCCGACATTAAAATTGCACATGAATACCAACTCATGTCGTAATTTCAATTGGAAAGTTGCGAGTTGCCGAGATGAGGTAAACTTTGACCTTTCAACATGGTAGAGTGCGGTGACATGGTCTGTGTGGTGAATCCACTGATCTCTATTTATTCACTGGATTGCTGATTTCCCAAAAAAAAAGTGAAACCACCGCCCGCCATGATGGTACTCCCCACTCCCACCAAGACACGCAGTAAAAATGCCTATGTGTGTGGCAAAAACAAGCAGTTTGCTGGCTCTGGGAAGATGTTTCACAGGTAACTTTACAGTCAGTGGATGTACTAACCAAGAAAATACATATATATGCCAATGTGTCCTATAGTAGAATATGTAGTGTAACATCAGTCTGGCTATTTCAGACATTGACTGAGTTCGCCATTGTGTCTAAGCATAGAAAATAGAAAGAGTAAATATAAAGTAATTCACTGTGAAATGCAAACAGTAATTCTTTATTAAGTGGATGATGCTTTTGCATTTGCAGTGTTTGATATTTTTCATTGTCCATTCGTCATCCATCAGACCAACATGCTATTCTTTAGCAAAGACAAACCAGATATGGCTATCCCAATGTCCTTTTGTCCTTTTAAATGCTAATAGGTGTTTAATGTAAGTCTTTCCTCTCCATGTCTGTATGCTCATACCAGCTTCATAAGGTGCTTCCCAAGGACATGATGACTTAGATGGACAGAGCTGGGGTTCAGACCGGCACCTCTCTCTACAGCAAGTGATCCAGCTTTCATGAACAGCACAGTTTTGTTTAGAACGAATCAGGAGGTCCAGAATTCTCTAGACAGAACCATAGGAAGAACATTATGAGTATAAAGAACATATGATAAAAAGGTCCATTATCCTTCAGTCACCCTTCAGACAGGTCAGACCTTCATCAGGTCCCTCAGGTTCGAAGCTACAGTAAACAGCCATGTTTTCAGTCCTGATTTAAAAGAACCAACATTTTCTGAACATCTTGGGTTTTCAGCCAGGTTCTTCCAGAGTTCTGCAGCTGAGGAGGGAACCAGTCATTTGGATCAGGTGTGCTGTATGGAGCATACAACCCCTCTAAAGCATGCAGAGGGGTTTTCTATGAAGAAAATTTTTTTTTTGTTTTGTTTTAGGTTGGGGAATAATTAAAGTTCAACAATAAAGCCCATAAATGAAACAGTCAGGTGGTGGAATTGGGCTGTAACTTGTTTTCTGAACATTTTGGTGAGAACCTCATTGTTCCTGATCTTATTATCCATTCATTTCCTGACCCAGCATCTGGTTTATTTTTGGGCCCAGGTGTTGCTAGACTCTCCTCCTCCTCAGAAAGCAGCAGCTGAATAAAGACTGAATCCTTTTCCTGCCTCAAATCAACAGAGTGGCAGTACATCAGCTCAATTTTCCTCAGCGTGAGGAGTCATCTTTTACAGTGGAGGGCGAGCGAGGCAGAGGGGCAGAGAAGGAGGGGAGTGATGATGTCATCAGGAGGAGGAGGAGGAAAGCAGCATCCTTCATCAGAGGAGAGAAAAGAGGCAAAGAAGAGGCAGAGAAAACGCTGGGACAGAGAAGAAAACCAAGGAGGGGAAGAAAGACAGATGGTGTCTGAGAGGGGGACAGACAGAGGGACAAGAGACAAAAACAGACAAAGGAGACAGGAAGAGAGAGAGGCTGTAAAATCCATCCTGTGGGCCGGAGCCGATCAGCTGACTGCAACTCACCGGGGAGGAGGAGGAGCCATGATGGGCAAGGATTACATGCTGGCTATCATCATCGTCAACTATGATGGTGAGACACCCCCCTCACATACACACACACACAATGTGACAGGTTTTCCTGGGTTATGAGGTCTAATGGTTCTGATGTTTAGGAACTCCTGCAGCTTCAGATGCAAACTTTCAGCTTCAGTGTGACTGACCCAAATAAGTTCCTGCTGCCGGTTTCATAGGTCTGCATCTCTCTGTTACCGTGAACCCACAGAATTCAGTTTGTCTTGCTTTTTCTAAAGGTTTATATAAATAAAGTGAATCGAATATCAGTTATTTTGAGGAACTGTGGTAGAATCCTGGAGGAACTCTAAAAGAACCTCTAGAAAAACCTTGAAGGAACCCTAGCAGAATAGCTGAGGAACCCTGGAAGAACCCCTAAGGAAACCTGGAGGAACCCTGGTGGAACCTTGAAAGAACCCTGGTGGAACCCTGAAAGAACTCTGGAGTAACCCCAGCAAGAACCCCGAAGAGACCTGGTAGAACTCTGGAGGAGCTCTGGAAAAAACTGGTAAAAATCTTGTAAGAACCTTGTAGGATCCCTGAAGGAACCCTGTTAGAACCCTACAGGAACCCCCAACTGAGGGGATTTGTGGTTCCTCCTTCCTTAATGTGCTTCATCCTTCTGCTGAGGAACGTCTCATCCAGCTTCTATCTTTGACCTTCTATCAGGTTTATCTATAGATTTAATTTGAACGAATCTGTTATTAGTTTCAGAGCTCTCATCGAAGGGTTATTTTGGAACCAACAGATGTTCCTCCAGGCTGGACACGTGAGGAAGAGGAGGACATGTCTGTGTCCTTTCCAGGGTCATCTTGCAGAGGACGCTCAGGCGGACACACATCCATCTCTCTTCAGTCTTTCTCTGTTTCCACCATCAAATGAGAACATCTGCTGGTTCCTTCCTGTAACTGATGATGAAATCAAAAAGTAGAAAAACAATTTTGATCAGACATTCTGCAGAACGCCTGGTTCCGTAACATTATCCAGAACCTGGACCTGAGCCCAGCCGCTCAGATGATCCGAGGCCTCATTCATTATTCACAGATTCTCTGCTTTCATGCCTCCCAGCTCAGCAGTTTGACCTGATCGATGGAGCTGCTCCTCATGGACACATGGTGCCATCATCAGATAAGCAATATTATCCTCCTCAGAGAGCCTCTGCAGCACAGGGAGAGCACAAACCCACCAGAACAGAGTCAGAAAGAAATGAAAACAGAACCAGGATCATCCAAACTCCTGACCCGCCTAGGCTTTGGGTCAGACAAAACTCTGGTGCGTTTGGGTCATTTTTAATTAAGGTTTGGTTCACATTTATAGTTAATAATAAAAAAAGCAACAAAAAAACATCAGAATCACTGAAGGTGACGTGAGGAACTTGGGTTCCTGAGACTGTCTCAGTCCAGGACATAAACGTCTTCACAGAAAGCTTTGGAAACAAAGTTAACTGGATGCATAATCACTTGAGGCTTCCATTTACAGTCAGGCCACGCCCATTAAGGTTAGTCCGATGATGTCACAAAAACTGGGAGGTAGGACAACCAACAGATTAGATGACCCCACCCTGAAGCTGAAAGCCTGTCCACTATACCTTTAATCAAACAGCAAACATGTGTAGATCTGTGTGTTAGTGTGTTAGCTAAGGCTTTAGGAAAACCTGGTTTATCTTCAATGATTTATATGAATATGATGGATATTGTTCATGTTCCGTTGGTACACTGTGATTGGTGCAGATTGACCCTGAACTGGTTCAGCCCCATCAGTGCAAATTGGCCTCTGTCTCCGAAACCTCTACAAAAACTATCTGGCTATGCTACTGTCAAAGCAGAAGAGGTCTTCATGATCAGAGCTGTCTGAACAGTGCTGCAATGAGGAGGGAGGGGGGAAGATGGAAGATGTTATATAGGAACTTACTGACATTCCTATCCCTCCCATTTGAGCTATAATATATCCCATAATCTTTTGCCTGAAACAGCCTACCTCACAGAGTTCAACAGCAATGTATAATTTATTCCCTGTTTTCTGTGTGACTCATGCTGATGTTTACATCTTCAGGTGTTAATGTTTGAGAACAGGGAGTTTCAGATGTTTACTTCTTTTCCTGAAGGCTGTAGTTCCATTTTTTCAAGGATCAACAACATGCATTGTTCTTTAGCTTCTTAATTAGTTAATTCAAACTTCCTGTTAAGTTAACCCTGACTTCCTATTACGGTACTCCTAACTTTGGGTCTACTGGAACACTACAAATTGTAGCTCCTAGCTCCTGTTCCCTTCACCTTTCCTTGGGTCTACTGTATATATATCTACTAAGGGCCAGATAACAACGTCAGGAGGTTCCTTCATTAAAGGAGCTCTGACTGAAAGCATCCTGCTTCCTCTTTAGGCATTAGTTATATAAAACACTGATCATTACCTGTTTGTTTCTAGTCATCAGTCTGTTATTGGTTAACTGTTACTGGTTACCTCGGTATTATTGTTTAGCTTCTTGCAACTGGTTATTTATTGTTTGTTCACTATTACTTCTTACCTGTTTATTAGTGTTAACTAGTTAGTTGTTCCTGTGTATCTGTTTATTATTGGTTAACTGTTTGTAACCAGTTAACAGTTACAGTTTGTTATTGCTTACCTGTTTATTAGTGGTTAGCTATTTATTCTAGATACCGGTTTGTTACTAGTTATCAGGCTGTTTTTAGTTAACTGTTACTAGCTACCTCATTAATCAGTAAGCTACATGTAACTAGTTACCTGTTTGTTGCCTGTTACCTGTTTATTCTGGTTAACTGTTACTGGTTGCATGTTTATTGCTGGTCAGCTGTTTCTGTTTATTCTGTTTAACAGTACTTGTTTCCTGTTTATTAGTGTTTAACAGTTTGCTACATGTTTGTCATGATGGGTCTTAAGTTCTTAGCCCATATGCAGAACACAACGGAGGCTGGGTAAAAGTTTAACAGAGTTTATTTAGTTTGCACAAAAACACAAGATCATGAACAGGATCTGGAACCGGTCAGGGCAGGTTCACTGGAGTCTGCAGAGATGATAGTTTGATTAGGAAACGGACTGATGAGTTTATGAGTCTTTAGATTGTTCAGGAGAATACCTTGAAGGAGTCCGGGTTTCTCTTTGAGAGAGAGGGAACTGTTGGGTCCAGAGACTGTTTGTTCAGCAGAGTCCAAGAGCAGCTGCAGCGTCTTGCTTCTGACTTTAAAGGTAGACCTTGATCTGAGTTTCCAGCTCTTAGCCAAGAGCAGCAGAGGAATCCACATACGTAGGAGTCTTCAGGTTTGGCTCACGAGGGCAATCTCGGCAGGTTAAGCTCATCCAGAGCCTCAGGTAGAGACAGGGTTCCTGTGAGGCAAAAAACAAGGGAGAATTAGAATCAGATCTTTCTCAAGAGACAGCAAAGATTCTCAGGTTCTAGGCTCAGGTCGCTAACCAAACTAAGGTCAACACTGCGGCGTCGAAGCAAGGTCTGGCAGCTGGTTATATAGGGCAGGTCTCTTGATGAGAAGATGCGCCTCAGGTGTGCTGGAAGACTCCAGCTCTTGGAGACCCACGGCGCACTCTGCTGGAGGAAGGTGGTACAGCTCCAGATCCCAACAATGTTATTTGTTACTGTTATATGTTTACTGCTTAACAGTTACTGGTTAGATGTCTAGTAGTGGTTACCTGTTTTTTTCTGGTTAAATGTTGCTGGTTACCTTTTTTAGAGCTAAGTAGCCTGTTTGTAACTAGTTATCTGTTTGGTATGGTTATCTTTTTATAACTGGTTAACAGTTAATGGTTACCTGTTTATTAGATTGAAACTATTTTTAACTGGTTATCTTTTTATTACTGGTAAATGTTTACGGCTTATCCGTTAATTCTGGTTAAGCATTGCTGGTTACATGTTTCTTACTAGGTAACTTTTAACATGGTTACTGGTTACCTGTTAGGGTAACCAGTAACAGGCTGCTAAACACCATTAGTGTTTAGCTGTCTGTAACTGGCTACCTGTTTGTTGCTGCTTATCTGTTTATTGATAGTTAATTTTGTATATTTGGTTAACAGTTACTGTTTGTAACTGGTTACTTGTTTATTCCTTGTTACATGTTTGTTCTGTTACCTGTTTGTTACAGGTCAGTTGTTACTGACTACCTGTTTATTAGTGTTTAGCTTCTTGTACTTGATTAACTTTTACTGGTTTTCTGTTTTTTTACCAGTCAATAGTTACAGGTTACCTGTTATTAGTGTTAAACTATTTCCAACTGGTTGGCCTCTATGTTATTGTTTATCTGTTCATTACTGGTTAACAGTTACTTGTTACATGTTTGTTTTGGTTATCTGTCTAGTGTTTCCTGTTATTGGTTACCTATTTAATCTGGAAGAACCAATAGGCAACGGGTTTCCCATTTATTACTGGTTAAGTGTTTGCTGCCAATTAGTATTTTTTGCTACAAGTTAACTGTTAATTTCTTGCTACTTATTTTGTTTGTTACAAGTTACCTGTATGTTAGTGGTTACCTGTTTGTTACAGGTTACCTGTATTACTGATTACCTGTATGTTACTAGTTACCTGTTTTTTTTGTGTTTATGTGTTTTGTTATGTGTGTGTTATGGGTTACAGTTTTATCTCATGTTATGTGTATGTTACAGTTTCAAGACCCTTAATGGTTTCTAGTTTTATGTTAATTTGTGTTCCAATTCTATTCCCCCTTCCTTGTAAAACATTGTGTGATGTATATCAAATATCCTCTAGGCAGGCTTTTAAATCAATGCTATGTCATTAGTTTCCATTTGGCCAGCTATGTGATGTAGGTCATTTTTCCCTAGATCAGCTTTCAAGCATTGTTTGAAACCTGGTGAAGGTTGTAGAAGCAAATAAACTTTGTTTGCATCTGAATCTTGGTTTTCCTTTAACATCTTAAAACTGCTTCCTTGTGTTTTAGTTTGTGCTGGAACTTTATTGATTCATATAATCTTAAACTTTTTAAAGTTATGTACAATTTTCTAACCTGCGTGTAGCATTATAATATGTGCGGGACCTTACAGTGTAGCTGTGACACCAAAATGTTGGAGTTTAGGTTTGGAGAATTTTTATTTATTTATGTCCATGCAGATAATATCTGGACAGACCAGAACCTCCTTCTGGATCCAGATCTTCCCTCTGGCTGGAGGACCATAAAAGACTCCACTGGGACCTACTACTGGCACATTCCTACTGGTACCACCCAGTGGCAGCATCCTCGCCTTACTGGGATACCAAAGCCTCTTGAAACACAAGTGAGACACAGTTAATTTACTACATGTAGCTTTTTCACTTTCGTCAGTGTGGCTCAGTCTGCTCTTCTTCTGTGGTGTTTCAGCAGGAAGAGGGAGTAGAGCAGAGCTGCAGTACAGAGGCACAGGGAGCTGCTGAGGAATGGTAACTGAGTCTTAATGTATATCTGCTCATGTTAGGTTCTCTGGTGGTAAAACACCTTCTGAAGTCTAGCAATATAATCCCCGTCCTCATGACAGAGAAGGTTCCGTTCGAAACATGACAGTCCAGGCCAGCGTCTCACCTCACCCATGTCCATGTGGTCTCCTATGGATTTTGGAAGTTATCTGGCTTTCAGGAGCAGATCCTTAAGTCCCCTTTAAAAATGGCTCCAATATGCACAGTTTTGCTCCATCCCACCAACTTTCAAAACTTTGCATGACTGCTTCCTTAGTATCAGGACCTTTTCTTTGGCTCTACTCCTCTCTGATCATACTAGTACTAGTACTGAAGAAGCAGTAATGAAAATATTTGGAAATTTATGTGGTGGATCAGAACCGGGCCAAGTGGAACTGGTAGAAAATGAATCCGCCATGGTGAGAATGATGACGCAAAGTTAGGAAAGGTTGAGAGTGCTGATTGTCAGCGTTCCCAACATTTATAGGTTGTAATCGAGGCATGGCTCCATATGACCTCCTGAGGAAAACAGTTTTTAGGTCCTAACGAAGGAGAGGGGGAGTCTCAGTGCAATGAGGACATGTACATGTTCCACAGTAAATGAGGACCTCTGGTTGTCACCCCGTTCCTGTAAAATTCACATTAACTTGTTTTCTCTCAGGTCTTCATTCCAGGATGATTACCTCAGCAACCATGACCCCGACTCGAAGGTGAGTGGAAACCAGAATCTCTCAGCCTTTAAACGTTGCTGTTTTTCTTGTCTGAAGTTCTTTCATTCCTTTTATCAAACTGGAAGTAAAATTAGAGTGATGATAAAGGACATGAGGTCAGAATAAAAGTTAAGGCCCTCCTCCACATCAGGATTTAATCTCACACTTTAATCTTTTCTAATCTCTCCCCCTCTCTCCACCGCTGCTTGATGGAGCTGTAATCTGATTGGTTCTGTGTCTCTGCAGTGCTTTGCTGTTCGCTCTCTAGGCTGGCTGCAGGTGGAGGAGGAGGATCTTTCTCCCGGGCGCAGCAGCTTAGCTGTCAGTAACGTCATCCAGCAGCTGTCTCACTGCAGCAGTCCGGAGCAGAGAGACAGGTCGGGGGCCTGGGGGGAGGTGAGAGTTCAGTGCTGCCCCCAGAGGCAAAGCACAGACACAGCAACTATATTTATCCAGGTGTTTTACTGAGTGACGTAGTCCCAGTGACAAGAGTTCCGCAGGTGTAGAATAACTTTTCCTGAATAAGTTTACAACTATAACAAGAAGCTCCTCCAAAAATGAAATTTACTTAAAGGTGTTGTAGGAGATCTTGGAGAAACAGTTCCAGCAGGCTATATTTTTTAACGTACACAACCATGCCTCTCCCTTCAGACCACCCCTTTAAAACACGCCTTCAAAACACATGAACGCACATGCTGTCTGTCGAGATGTTCGGATTTTTCCAAGGTCGAGAACGAAACAAGCCGAGACCGAGAGCGGCTAAAGCATTACATTGACAGCATGGACTTTGAGGGTCAAAGCCATGTTTACTTGAACATACAGTTCTTACTTATCAGAGCCGGAAAATGAAGCCAGAATAGCGGAGAGGGATGGAGGTGGAGGGGGCTTAAAAAGCCCTTGCTGCTGTATGTGTCGAGCTGGCTAGCTGCTGGACAATCGTGTTGTCATAACTAATAAAAAACACACAGGAATCACAATTTGTACCGTATAGAACTAATGTGACAAAATGTTTAGATGCACGACATACATAGCTTTCAACTAGGTAACGTGACTGAGTTCACGTGACATCACTGGTCCTTGTGCCTGCACGAGCATTGGGGGTCGATTCATTCATGTGTCAGAGTACCCGCACGGGGGGAGGGAGAAGCAGATGACCTTGATTGATGTGTCAGGAAACAATATTAGACCACTGACGCTGTTTTGTGATTAGTGGACGTTACTCATTGATTTAACACTGTAGCTGGGACTATTTTTTTTTTCGTTTCACTTCCATACCTTCTATTTCACTTCTTACTACGCAGCTTTGGGGAGATCTTCAAGATACATGGTAAAAAAATTGTCAGAAAAGATCTCCTACTACACCTTTAAATGAACAGTGGAGAAGATTCTCCTGAGATGTTCTAGCCACCAGGGGGCTCCTTTACCTTCCACTGCACTTTAATTTAGATAGCTTCTGACCAAACACTATTTATTCATTTTATAGTAAAACCCATCTGTATATTATGCTATTGTACATAACTGTAAAAACCTTTTTTTTAATAGTAATATCCATCTGTATATTATATTCGGTACATATCCAGCTGTAAATTTAGTTCATAACACTAGTGATCTATATATTATATTCATTATTTATAATAGTATTCATCTCTATACTCATTCAGTAGAAAACCCATGTCCCGTATTTATGGAACCATTATTTATTCTGCACTTGCTGCTATTGCACTTCTGGTTAGACCTAAACTGCATTTCGTTGTCTTGTACCTGTACATGTGTAATGACAATAAAGTTGAATCTAATCTAATCTAATCCTTTGGCAAATACCTTGTATAGCCAGGAGGAGAGGAAGAATGGAAGTTAGAGAAACTGACCAAATAAAACCACTAAAGAGTTAACAGGATTTAGCATCATAATATTTTATCTCATCTGCAGGGTCGGGAGATGATGCTGGTTCTAAAGAAAGATACCTTGACCCTGTTGGACCCATTAGACCACACCCCTCTCCACTGTCAGCCAATCATCAACATTCGTGTGTGGGGGGTGGGCTGTAACAATGGCAGGTGAGTCAATCAAAGGTGGTGGCTCGTTTACGTGATTCAACCTCTAATAACTCTAATAACTCGTAGTTTGGTAGCTGGTACCAAACTACACCAACTTTACTGCAGAATCCCAGCTGGGTAGACTTTGCAAAAGTTTTAGTTCAGTTTACGGGAAAATCGGCACAAAATCCTGTTAGTGTCAGAGGGGAACCCACTGAACCTTGGTAGCAGACAGACATGGACCCAGTCAGTTCGTGCAAACAGATCAATGCTCCAGCTGCAAAGAGATGTGGGTAGT